GGAGCTGGGGCTCAGTCCTTCTGACCTGGCCCTCTGGAATCAGGAGAACCCGGGGAAATGTCTGGGAGCCCTGCTGTGATTTTAACCAGTGTTCACTGAGTTCCTGGAAACAGGCTGTCAATTTCTGGCAAACTAACAATTCCAACCAGATCTGCTGGTAAACGTCTTTTTATCTCTGATCTCCAGCAGGTCTCAGAAGGTCAGAGGGATAATTTTTGGATGAGAACATGAATACTGAAGCTAAATCAGTTTACACTCAACAGACTACGTTCTTATTTCCTTTGCTCGATGCTGGGATCCTTTTAGAATTTTACGAATCTTTGATTTTATATTGACACAAGGGTAGAAAGCGAACTGCATTGTCAAGATGCCAGCACCAGCCAACTCCACATGGGGAGCTGGCCTTCACTGTGTGAAAACAAGACAACTTTTCCTCTGACATGACAGAACACATGTAAGACGTACTCCAGAACTGAGCGTGCAGGCAGTTTCTTTTCTATGCCACTCCTATTTAAGGAGTTAATAGCTATACCTAGGAAAAAAAAAGGGAAAAAGAATGCTCACCCTACACGACTGATTCTCAATCTTGGCTGCTGATCGGAATCACTCAGGAGCTTGAAAAGCAGAAACCGAAACCACCACCGCTGATTCCTGGTCCCATCCCTGGAGGCTCTGACTTAATTGTTCCAGAGTAGGGCTTGCAGAGCAGCAATTCCAAAGGTGCCTTGTGACTCTGACATGTGGCCATGGTTGAGAACCACGGTCTTAGGCATGGAGAGTGGCCCTACACCCACGCCTTCAGCCAGGCACATGCCATTTGTCATTTCTGAGGGAACATGTACTAATATTTTTGCATGTTCTGGGGAAGAAAAGATCAAACATGAAATGAAGAGGTACAGGGTTTGCAGCTTAGGTTTTCTAGCTCTAAATGTCCTTATTAGGAAAATGATGTCATTCCACTAGAAGATTTCTAAGACTCCTGCTGCCCCTGGCATTGTCTTATTCGAGGCCTGCGGTTCTTAACCCCATTGAAAACATGATGCCTGGCCTCACCTCCGGACGCTGTAATCTGATTGGTCTGGTGTGAGGCTGTGTATCAGTATCTTCCAATGCTCCCCAGGTGATTCTGAAGTGTAACCAGGATTGAGCATCGTGGGTTTAGGTTCTCTGTTGAACCAAAGTCTTCTCAGACAGGAGATGAGATTTGTTCGAGTGTGTGTGTGCATGTATGTGTGTGAGTGTGTGTAGTTCATCTACACATAGATGTGCTAGGGGTGAAATTTCAGCTGAAAGAGTGCGAGGAATTCACACCCAGCCTCGTATGAATTCAGGAACATAGAATTAACGCGCACACACGTGTCCACACTGTCTTATGTAGGCCCTGCTGGTTGCTGGGTTGACATAGTGGAGAAGGGATGCCAATGCCTGGGATTCCAGCCTGGTTGCATTCCCTCTGGCTTCCGGGGAATGAAGACAACGGGTAAACTGCCTGGCACGATACCGCCACCCAACACCCGTACGCTGCTTCACAGTCCATCCAGCCCTGTGCACCTACAATACTGCTTTATCCTCGTAAGACTGAGATGAATTTCCCTCCTTTTAGAGACAGGAAACCAGAGACTCAGGGCAAACTAGGTGTCTGGCCCAAGAGTGCATCACTAAAAAGTAGTGGGTGCCAAAATTCTAACCCCAACCTTGTGATTTCAATTTGTCTTTTTAAAATTTGCTTTCCTTCATGAATCCTCATCGATCCTCCCACACGATCCTTAGGAGACCAGCATGGAGGTGTGTGGGAGGGGCACACACTCTCTGTGGGGGACCAGGAGTGAAGGGGATGGGGCTAATCATGCTGCCTTTGAATGAAAGCAGTTACCCCCGGTTACAGGAAGAGACGCAGGTGTGAAATCAATGTCAAGAGAAGAGATTCCAAGCAAGTTAGTCCTATCCTTAACTGTTGACTTGACCCTGAACAGTACAATTTCATTATGCTAAACATTTTTCTTCCTTTTTAAAGTCAGTGATATTGCCCTGGCCCGTTTTGCTCAGCGATTAGAGCGTCGGCCTGCGGTCCAGAGAGACCGGGGTTCAGTTCCCGCTAAGGGCATGTACCTCAGTTGCAGTTTGTCCCCGGCCCTGGTTGGTCGTGTGGGTGGCAGCCTCTCAATGTGTCCCTTTCACATTGATGTTTCTCTCTCCCTCCCACTATCTCTGAACAAAAAATGGGAAAAAATGTCCTCGGGTGAGGATAAAAAAATAAATAAATAAAGTCAGTGATATTGTAACTAAAAAAGATCATCTTCAAAGTAGCCAGATAGAACAAAAGAGGCCAAAATATAACCTTTCCATAGAACATAGCTAAGCTATGTCAAGTTTGACCTACAGGTTCAATAATCACCTTGAGGAGGCTCAACTTTTTCTTGACGCTCTCAGACTCTTAAAGAAATGACCTTCGGGGACGTAGTCGAATTCCTTATTCCATGACTGTGGGCTCTTCTAAAAGAGAGCAGTGCTGAAGTCCTCATATAGTCATGTGACAGAATCTAAATTCAAACTGCTTAACACAGAAATCAAGCGGCAGCGGAAAATTCCAGGCAGCCAGATATTGGAGCATGTCTTGGGCAAAGAGCGAAGTGGAGTTTTTAACACAGCATTCAGCACGCGCGTGAAGAGCTCGGGCCAAAGTACCATCATCAAGTTTATGCTCCATTTGCCTTTTGGAGCATACATTTGAATTTCAGCACGAGCCCTATGAGAGGGTTGCAGAGTTGTATACTGAAAGGTAGGCAGTGTACCTTATTCTCAAGTGGTAACAATGCCGGCCACCTAGAGGGCTCAGACTGTCCCAGGATCACCCATTTGCATGAGATACATTTAACACCAAGCATCTCCAGTGACCGAATAGAAGTAAATGAGCCTACTGAGGTTGGCTCATAGAAATCATTCTAGAGCTACAAGACAATTCTGAGGTTTTAGTCATAATAATACTTAGAGCTTCCATAAGAAGTATTTGAAGACTTCAAATTAAAATATAATGAATAGGTCTAAGCTTCTCCACTAAACACTTGAAAATTAAGACTTACTAGGAGACTTCTTTCTTATGTGAAGGATTGGTGTTATCCCTTCTTTCAACAACCCTCCCACTTCACCCTTTTCTGTTTCAAAGGAATCCCTGGGTACAAAAGACATGAGGAAATACAAAGAGCAGGAGGATCACATTGTTTATTATGAATGTCACTTCAATAAGCTGGATACCATGTAAAAGGAGTGCAATGAACGAGGACATTTTAATAGTAACTGGGCTCTTCATTTCATGCGTCTGATACCTCGGACTACTGTTGGCTAGTTGTGTGGATAGCTAGGGTCAAATTGGATACGTTTTTTAAAAGGGGACGTACAGAAGACTTGAACTTCTCCTCACCTAGTTAACGTGACTTACCTTGGAAGACAGCAAGTAGCCTGGGTTTTTCAATCAGACAGTTCATTTGGATCCCACCTCTGCCACTCACCAGCTGTCCACTGGTCAAATGGTGAAGACTAAACTGAGCTGATGCATATAAAGCTGGATACCATGTAAAAGGAGTGCAATGAACCAGGCCATTTTAATAGTAACTGGGCATATAAAGCCCATGGACAGTGCCTCACATAAGACAACTACTTGACAAATAGTAGTTACTTTTCTCTTTCCTCCGGTTTTTGTCTAAGTTGCCATGACTCAGGCAGAAATTCAGTTCCTCTCATCGTGACACAGCATTTCTTTGAGCTAGTGGAGATTTCAATCAAGATTGCTCTAAATAGCCCTGGACAGTGCAGCTCAGTGGTTAGAGCATCCTCCCATGCACTGATGGGTCTAGGGTTCGATTTCTGGTCAGGGCACATACCCAGGTTTCGGGTTTGAGCCCCACTTAGGGCGCATGTGGGAGGCAACTGATTGATGTTTCTCTTTCATATCAATGTTTCTCTCTCTCTCCCTCTCCTTTCCTCTCTCTTTAGAAAAATAATAATTAAAAAAAAGCATATCGTCAGGTGAGGATTTGGAAAAAAAGTGCTTAAAATAATTTGTGTTCATACATTTTCACTTTCCTTAAATACAGTTTTGTGTTCGCTCATCACCTGGTATTCCTTTAGTTCTTATTGATAATAGTTGATGTTCTAGGTAGCCCTGAATTCTTTACTATTTTATTAATGAAGGAGATCCACTCTAATGAAATATTTGAGGTCAGAAATTTCAAAAGCAGAGGTAGAAACAATAAACAGACAGAATGTAGTTTCCCTTGTCATTCTCTAACCTTGGTCTCCTCTCTGAGTCCGAGAATGTCTGACTTTAGTCCAGGGTAGGGAGACCCCATCATGTCTCTTGGGGCTCAGCATCTACCCGTGAACTTGACTAAGCAGCTTTTCAGTGCTCTTGACGGCCAGTTAAAAGCCCCAGGGAGGGTGCCTTGTCCTCAGACGGAACGAGTCTCTGGTCTTTCTAACTGGGCTACCATTTCATGTGTCTGGTATCTTTTTTTTTTTTCCTGATGTTTTGTTCAGATAGAGTGGGAGGGAGAGAGAGAGAGAAACATCGATGTGAAAGGGACACATCGAGTGGCTGCCACCCACACGACCCAACCAGGGCCGGGGACAAACTGCAACCGGGGTACATGCCCTTAGCGGGAACCGAACCCGGGTCTCTCTGGACTGCGGGCCCACACTCCAACCGCTGAGCCGAACCGGCCAGGGCTGTGTCTGGTATCCTGAATGGTTGCTGTCTAGTTGGGTGGATCTAGAACCTTCTCTGGCAGCACCATCTCCTTTAACTGGAGGAAGCCCAAGCAGTGATGAGGAGGCCCAGCGTGGACCAGTTAGACGATTGTCAGTCAGGGGAGGGGGTCCCTGTGAGCACTCCATGGCTACCACGAACAGTTTATTTACATGTAAATGTACACTGTATGTTGGAAATCTTTTAAATCAGAAATGGAGACGCACACGTGGTGCTGAAGAACAGCTGCGGCACTCACCTGTCCAGGCTGCTCACAGGCTGTCTGGTACCTGGCCTGCTGGCACAGTTCTTTCACCCTCTCGTATTTGGGCAGGTGATTCGACTGCTGGATATTCTTGCTGGATTCTTCTTTCTTACGGAGAAACTTCCTGTGACCGAAAGGGAACAGCTCCTTATGTGAGAAGCGATCTGAGTTACCCCCTATGGCCTGCCTGCTCTCTTTTTCTCCCCTGCACTTTCTTCAGACAGCGAGAAATGGATGTTAAGGCTCTGACCACAGGGGCCCGACATTGGAGGAGTCCCTCGTGACAAGCTGGGTACTAATGAAGGCGAGAGGTCAGGACAGGAGGAATCATTCCCCCTCAAAGCATTCACTTCAGAACTGTGGACATCGATGTTTAGCTTTATAGGCTCAACATTCTTTTTGTTAAGAAGCAATTATAGAAATGCTTTCTCTCAATGTGTATATGAGAAAAACAATGATATTGAGCATTATGAATCAAAGGGGAAATCCAGAAGCAACTATAGAAATAATCACAATGTCAAGTGTTCGTGTATTTAACACGGAGAAAAGCTCAGGAAAAGAAGCAGAAAAGCTCTAGGTAGAACTCGGGAAGGGTGGTTAAGAAAGTGACCGGTCCCATTAGCAACCGAGGCTCAGGGTCCACGGCCATGTGAGGGCTTTGGTCCCATCTGTGAGAATTTATTCTTTATAATTCGGATGCAGCGGTCATTATTCTGCTGGCCAGAGAAGCATGACTAGCAAACCATTTGACTGTGTTACTAGACTTACGAAATCTGTATGCTTAGTAAACCAAAATAAGGGGGAAAAATACCCAGCAGGGAGAGCTGCCCACTAGGACTGGTTCCCAGAAGCACCCCAGAAACCAATAATTACCCTCTTTCCACGAGGAATGTATCACGCCAAATTTTGGCCTTTTTGTTTGTTCGAAACCTGCAAGCAAAATAATAATATTTACAGTTGGCATCTGGACGTCTTTCCAAACGAATCTGTGCTAACAGTTTATTTAAAGGAACACCTCTCACTTCCCGCAGACCATGACTGTGTCTCCGTCAACATGCTATATACAAACAACCAAGAAATTCTCAGCTTGGGGTGATCCACACGGGCAAAGAAAGCTATTTGGCTTCTCCTTCCTTCCGCTGCTGGCTGGCTCTGGGAGCCAGAATGCTTGGGACTGGCTGCGGGGAAGAAAATTGACACACCTGTTACCTGGCTTTTCCAGGTCCAGAAGTTTGAGGACAGACTTGCCATCCACATCGGGAGGTGGGTCAAGCCCAGCGATGTCCAGGATCGTAGGGGCCAGGTCAATGTTCAGAACTATCTGCGGGACTCTGCAACGGGACAGAGGGTTATGCCCCAGACCCAACACCAGTGGAGGGTGGCACGCAGGCCGCTTCTCCACACCATGGCTCACTGGCCTTCCGTGCCTCCCCCCCCCCCCCGACTCCTAGGGAGGGGAGCTGCCTTTGGGCAGGGCGGCTCAGTGGTCCGCAGTGATGGCACACAGCAGGATTAACTGTCTCTCACAGGGGTCCCTGGAGAGATGCCCAGCTCCCTACGCTCTGGCCACACTGTCCCACAAATCATGGCCTGGTTTTGCAGGATGCATACTTCTAAAACCCGATAGCCATAACTTCTCTGTTAAACCAAGGCTCTAAAATCGACTTCTATGTCGCACAGAAGGCAATATACAGATCGTGTATTACAGACATGTGCACTTGAAACCTATATACTCTTATTAACCAAAGTCACCCCAATACATTTAATAATAAATCGATAAAATAAAATCAACTTCTAAGGAAGGACCAAGGTTTTTATAGTTAAATCCAATCATGCCACCTAGACCTTCAAACATAAAGTCTTCTAATTTTAGATTGGACAATTCCTAAGAAGTTTCTAATGACCTGAGAGACGTAATAACATTTTTCTTAGAAACCTTCTTCCTGCCACCGCCTTCGGCCCGGGAGGCGGTGGAACCCGGCAGGCAGAGACTCAGACATCCGGCATCCGAACCCGGGCGAGCCTGCTGCCTCGGGGACGGACCCTGCGGGGCACTAACGCCGGCTGTTTCCTCGTCGTCACCCAGGGCTCCAGGCACGGGCTCCTCAGGCCCTGCCAGCTGTTGACTCTACTTGCATTCTTTTCTTTCACTCCTTCCGTAATTGTTTCGTGCACATGTTCTCAGTTTATACATAACCTTCTGCTGTGATTGGCAGGGCACGTGAAACTCATTTTACGACAGGAAGAGAGACGAGGAGATGCAGAGGCTGTGTAAGGTAGAGGAATTCAAGTCCAGCCCTTTAGGCTTCTTGTCTTTAAAAAATTCATGCTTTTAAAAATTTAATTTAAAAAATGATTTTGAAAAACAACAACAACTGAGAAGATGGCACATGTTTTGACAAAAGACAGTGTATCTCTTATTCAAAGAAAGTAAGGGTCATGTTCCTAAGGATCCTGTCATTATCTGTGTACACAGGCCCACGTGACATGGATTCTGATCAATCTGAGAGAATTAATCATTGATACACTTATTTTTCCTTTCTCTTTAAAGAGTATAATTTAGTTAAATTAACATGTGGCAAGGGGGGCGGTTGAGGTGTAGGTTTTCGTCTTCTAAGTTACCAACCTACATACACCATTTTTTGTTTTGGATGAAAGAAAACCGGCACTGAGATTGGTACCCGAATGATCTCAGATGTACATGAGCTACGACAGGTGAATGTGCAAACAGAGAAATACGTACATTGATCCGGGTTCTACACTTGGCCCACGAATGAAGAAAGGCACACGGATATCAAAGTCGTAAGGCATGGACTTCCCCTTGACCAGTCCGAACTGCCCGATGTGGTAGCCGTGGTCGGCGGTGTAAATGATGTACGTGTTCTCCAGCTCCCCGGTTTCCACCAGCATGTGGTACAGCTGAAACACAGCACGGGGGCCCATCAGAAGCAACCGCGAGAGCCCAAGACAGCACTGATTTCCCCCGAATCTTTTTTCCATTATTTTTCAAAGCCAAGAGCTGCTGTTATAAGACCAACAGACAAAACGTTAACTACATTTTCTTGTTGCTTACAATCCTGGGGGAAAAAAGTCCAATAATACAGTTGAAAAGTAACATTTTTTAAATCTGGCACATGCGACTTACATGTCTTTGTTCACTTATTTGAGAGAAACAACAACAACAACAACAAAAACCCTACAAAGCAACCTCCACCACCAAACTTAGGGCTTTGACTTTGACAAATTCATTGTTAAGGCAGATTTTAATATCATCACTCTTACAGCTAGTCATCACGGGTTAAAAACAGGCAGCTTCTGAGTCCAATCCAGCTAGATCTAGCCTTTAGGCAGGTCTTGCTTGGCTTATGTTATGTTTTAAAATTCATGAAATTTCAAATAAAATGTTTGTAGTTCTGGCTTCTTTTAAAAAGTCAGAAGGCTTGACAATACTGGATTCACATGGCAAATCTTAGTTGGAGCTGAGTAGTTGCTCAATTTCAAGTCCACCACAGTCTTCACCTATTGCCTTATACTGGACCTGCTTTCGTTATCTACATTATTTGCTTGATTCCTGAAGGTATTTGTGGGGCTAGCCCACTGTTTACGATGTTTTGATTTGTTTCTCCTCTCTGCTTCTGGCTCCACAAGAACCAAGTGTGGTGAGGTAACAGGGGGCACAAGATAAGGGAGGGCTGATACATTCTTTCACTTCTCAATAAAACAAAACAAAACAACAAAACAGGATGGGCCAGAATGGGAAGCTGGACCAAAACCTGTAACTGAGGCAAGTTCATGTGCTTACCCTTTCCACAGAGTCATCCACTGACATCAACGTCTGAAGCCTTTTGCGATGCAGGACGTTTGTAAATTCCATGTGGACAGGCAGCATGGGGCCCGTGTACTGCATGATCCAGTGCTTATCCATGTTTGGGGCATAGTTATAGCTGGGAGTTCTGAAAATATCCAGAAAGGAGTCTTACTCTATATGTTTTAGTCTCTTAGAGAAATATCTCAAGGGAACGGTTGTGAAACGATCATTTAGGAAAGATAATTGAGACTCTACTACAGTATTTTCCTCTCCCATGTGTCTTCTTGCAGTGAATTTAGGAAGCTCTGAAGCTTTCACCACCCCAAACAGCAACATCCTCTGAAGGTATATGGATTCACCCTTATAAAAACCGAGACAGGCAGCTAAAAATCTAATTAGTGCAAGTTCATTTGGGTTCACGGAACAAAATGTGTAGAAACACATCAAGATGATTATGGTAATGTTACAAATCTACAGATAAAACTCGGTAATGTAGAAGGGAATGTTCTCATGGTGATGTTCGCTCGTAAAATTTTATTGCTAATTAGGCTATTAAATATGGTCACAAATATGTGGTATGATGAATCATAATTTCAACACATTTCTCTCTCTCTTGAATTTACTAGGGTATTTTATATTGTTAATTATACAGGGTGGGCAAAAGTAGGTTTACAGTTGTTTGTATGGAAATAATAAAATAATTAATAAATAATAATATTAAAATAAGCTCCGTGTTTCACAAACTCACAACTGTAAACCTGCTTTTGCCCACCCCTGTATATCTAACCTCTATGAGTGTTTCTCATCCTTAACCTTGTATATAGATACCATTAATTTAATTGTATTTACTGGAATTATAACCAAGTCTATTCTGCAAAATACACGTTTACCAATAAAGCTATTCACTTTATAGACAAATCAATAGCTATGCAAGGCATATTTTTTGTTAATTACAGGGAAGAGGGTCCCTGTGTCCTAAGGCAGGTCGGTTCAGGCCTGTATTTAATCTATTGCAGAGACCCCAGGGGCATCCCATGCTTCCCATTGGAGACCCACAAAATATGTCATCCTCTCTTTGAAGTTTTACCCAACTCCCTCAACCAGGAGATGCTGCCACCTCTTATCCCCAGAGAACATGTGTACTCTACAGCACTTGTCACACTGAGAATTATTTGAGCATATTTGACCTTGCCATCAGACTCTAATGTACTTGAACCTTCTCCTTAGGTGTTATTGAGCATGTGGAATCAATTTACTATTAAAACAGTAGTTACCATGTGTCCGGTGTTGTGCTAAGTGTTTTATATACACTAGCTCCTTTAATGATCTCAGCTCTTCTGGGAAATAGGCTTCCCATTCCCATTTTACAGCTCAGAAAACTGAGGCTTAGCAAAGTTAAATACTTTCCTCAGATTGACAAAGTTAGCAGGTGCAAGGACCAGGACTCGATTTCAAAGCACATTTCCTTTAACAAAGAGAAGTGAAGGGAGGGCCGCTTGCTACCTCGGAGGTTGCTCTTCATAAGAACCACCACTTTACCAATAGCCAGAACAAGCAAACAGTCTACGGTGATTGAAAAGATTTGATTACCATCTCCGGCTGTTCCGGGAAGATACTATCAGTGAAAGACTGTGCATAATAATGACTGACTGAAGGTGACCCTGGGGCATTATTTATAAGACCAGAGAAACCATCAGTCACTGTGAGTCGTGGTTGTGCCCTGGGGCATTTCCATGCACACTGAGCTGTAAAATGCCGCCTGTTATTGTACACTTTCTCCTGCCAGTGGATTTGCAGAACCTTTCTTTGAAGAGCTGAGGATGTTGCTTTGGCACCACTGGCCTTCTTGGAACTGAAAGGGGGCCTGATGGTTTGCACGATGTTGGTCGACTGGGGAAGGGCAACTGCGCTAGAGCCAACATCACACTGGGCACCGAAGACACCGTGCAACTCGCGCTCAGAAGCGGGAAGTCAACTCCTTCTCAAAGAGACAGGTTTGTAGAGGGGGAGGAGCTGGTGTGGCTCAATTTGCTCCCCTGTAATTGGGGATAATAGCACCTCTCCTAAAAAGCTCTTTTGGGGGACAACTTTATCAGTCTGTCTGCCTGCATCTATATATCTATGTCCTACTACATTCTATCTATCTATCTATCTATCTATCTATCTATCTATCTATCTACTCTCTATCTACCCTTCTACCTCTATCACTTAAAAGTTCCTAGAACAGAGAAAGTCCATGAGTTTCCTACATGAGCCAATAAACAAATACATTTTATAAAAGTATCTGGGTTGAAAAAACCCCTGCAGCATTAAAAAACAAACAGGCTCTTCAGGTATCACTTGCCATTCTTTTTAAGAGTAACTTTCAATATAAACTTCTTTTTTACCAAGTAAATGACTCATGCACCAAAGGGTCCCATTTTGGGAGGCCTGAAAGGGTTCCTCGTATCTCAATGCGAACCACAGGCCAAAGCAAACGTCAGCCTGAGTTTCTCATTCTTCACACAGCATGTCGAGTTACAAACAGGATTAGAGTAAGTGACTGAGGAGGAGACAGGGGGCTTCTAAATCCCATTGGAAAGGGATTTTCACCCGTGGGGGTAGGTTGAGGTCAGAGAAATACAGCAAGTTGGCCGTGAAAGGTCCCTAACCATTTAGTGATATGTACCCTGGAAAAGAACACAGCTACAAAAGATTTCACAGGCTTTCTTCATAATACCTACACATCCTCCTCCGACTGCCTTTGATGTTGGCCCGCCTTAATTTTAAAATAAATCTAGTTGACTTTTTTAAAACCGCAAAACCTCAACACAAATAAAAATTACAATAGGGAACTGAAACTGGGGCTCACAGTGGGCAAATTATATCTTCCCTCGGTTACCTTGATGTGCTTGGCATGGCTCCACCTCACTTGGAGGAACAGCAAATTACAAGCTTCAAATTGGACTCCCGGATTTACAGAATGACATCTGTTAAACCTGGCTTATATTAAAAGGGAGAGTTCAGGTAGTTGTCAAAGCTGTACTCCCTGCGTTTTTCCCCCCCTTAATTTCGGGATGTGGGAGATGACCCCCAGCCCAGGGACTGCAATCCCAGGTGGGATCTCAGCAGGGGGCGGGGAGGCGGGGTAGGCATTTGCCTTTTAAAGGAAGACAGACTGCCACTGCTTCCCACAGCACAGCAGCTGTTCAGGGACCTGCAGGTGGAAGGTCGGGGGTCACTGAAATTGACAATGTTGTTGAAAAGTGATCTTTTGCCAAAGGCCTGTGGTTGCCTCCTGCTGGGGTCTGCCAAATTCCTGGAGGATGCGGCCTTCTGTCTCCCAGTGATAATTAAGGATCGCTTCCCTAACGGAGAATTGACTTAACATTATTCAAACCGGCTGGAGCAGTCAGCTGGAGCACAAGGCAGGGAAAGACGCAGGTACTTCTTTTAAGCAAGAGTGGAAAACCACAGATCCAATTGTTCCAGAAGGTTCCAAAATCACTCCCGAATTCTCACCCCCGCTCTGTTACTGACTACTGTGTGATTGTGGGCAACTTTTTTCTCTAAGCCTCTGTTTCCTCATCTATATAATGGGTATAACAACTTCAAAGACTTCTCGTGAGGGTTAAAGAGAACAAATCCTGGGACCACATTAGACCCACACTTACGGGTACCTGGGAAAAAGCTATTGTCTAGTTCATTTGACTGTTGTGGCAGCCCCGAGGGGCAGGCTGAGCATCTTAATCTCATTCTATAAATGAGAAAGTGAAGGGAACAGAAAGAACGTGTTGGGGCCTGTGCTCCTTCCGTGACGTCGCGATGACCAGAGTCAGGAACCACAGTCCCCAAGAAGCACCTCAAAATCCCAGTTATGAAAAGGAGAAGTGATACAAACATTTCTTTCTGCAGGAAAGCACATCCTGGAGCCCTCAGCCTTCGCCCTGATGTAAAACATTAGCAGCTTCTGCTTCCCATTCAGAGCTCCCACCAGATGTGGGGCGTCTGACCCCGCAGGCACCCTGGGTGCGTCCGCGGGAAGGCAGGTAACGCTGGCTATTTCCTTGAAAATCGAGAGGGCAAAGGACCAAACTGTCATTTTGGGGTTTCTGTTGCTTTCCTTAAAAAACAAACAAAACAAAACCAAAACCAAAAATCCGTGTGAGTTATAGTCACGTGTGCCTGGGCTGGTGAGACTTTCTCTTGTCTCTTCAGGTCCAAGTTTTGCCCAGAACTGTGCACCCCAGGCGTTAGACTGTCAAGAAAACATACCTGTAAGCCCTCAATAGGCTATGCCAGTACTTGACAGTGTTTACCTTTCACGGCAAGCTTCCCTGCACATTGTTTTTCTCTTTTCTCTAGTCATTACTCGTTGGACTTGATGGCTCAGCCTGTAGCCCGCTACATTGTAAATTCAACCTTCAACATCAATGCCAATTCTTTTTGGCCTTTGATTCTCTTTCCAGGATTGCTTATTGACGTAACAGGAATTAGAACTCTGAAAATCAATAATGTCACCTTTCTTTTTGATGGGTGGGTATTTTAGGAGAATAATTCTTCCTAGTAAAGAAATAGTTTCAAGAAATGCATGTGTTGTAAATTAAATCCATACTTGGGGAAATGCAAAGAATTTAGCAGTTCTTTCTTACCGCTGGTGGCCTTGGTTGTCACCAGTGAAAATAAATATATTTCTAGTGTGCTATAGTTGAATATGTGTTTTCTTCGTTTGTTATTTAGTCCCAAACAACAACAAAAGCCCTAATGACCTAACTCTTAAAGGGTATTGGTAGCAGAACCACCGTTTGCTGTGAAGTAAAATAGTAGTCTCAGTTCCCAGAATGAGCCAGTTACACAGATTTCAGACACACACTCGAGGCATAAAATTGGAAATTCTATACCTAATCTCCCAGGCCACACCATCTCAGCTTTCACTAAAATTGAACTTACTTAATTGACTTTGTGGAGAGATTCCCCACATGAGTTCAAATGTCTTCACTTCGGTAAAATTGAACACATGCAGAATAAGACCAAATGATCTTGATTATAGCAATATCATCAAACGAATTTAAACAGTCTTCTAACAATGTTGCAAACGCCAATTAGAATTTTGCCAATATACACATCGGGGCCACTTCTAATATTAATTGTGACTGTGATGGGTAC